AGGCCAGGAGGAAGGTGGCCTCAGCACGGAGGCCGGGCTGCTTGGGCTCCCCACTGCTGGTTGCTGGCCTGGATCCCGTCCGCAGGGACGTGAGGCGTACTGCTGTCAGGGCCGGGTGCCATTTGGCCCACCTGACACCACGGAAGGCGAGGCTCTGGCTGTGTACCTTTCACAGTGCCGGGGACCCCTGGGAATGGAGGGATCCAGTTGGGGGCGTGGGGTCCCTAAGATGTTCACGTGACTTCATTTCCACCTCCCAGTGGATAGCCCCAGCCCGCCTGAGGGCTTGGAGGACAGCTTGGAGGACAGCTGCCATGTGAAACCCAGTTATTTTTCCAAACAGTGAACAATCCTAGTGATGTCATGAGCCCTGCTGGAGGGCCCAAATCAAATCGGTTCTGGTGCTGGTGCAGGCTCCCGTGACACCGTCCCAAGGTGACGACACAGCCTGGCCCTGGGGCGGGGGAACGCAGAGCATGGGGCCTGCAGGTGGGGCTCCCTGTCTGTTTCTGGGGGTCACATTTCGGGAGTGAAATCCGCTCAGAGGAGGGCAGGCCTCAGCAAAGACTCCCCCAGGTCAAGGAGCACCAGAAACAGGTTCCGGTGGCACCAGACAGCTTGTCCCCCAGCCCCCCCCCTCCGTCCCCCTCGCGGCAGCAGCCCGGGGGTTCAGAGCCGGGGCAGCATCTGGGGCTGAGGTAATGGGTCTCAGGATGGAAGTACTGAATGAGTGGGCACAGAAGGGGGCCCAGACGGAGCCCGAGGTGGCCTCCCCCGTGCGCCCTCATGCCTGGCTGAAACCTAATCCTCATTCTTGGGCCCTCATGTCACGGCCTCAGCCCTGGCTTCCCATCAGCCTGCTGCAGTCAAGCTGTTCTCACTCTTCTCTTTTCCTCCAAAGGAAGGACCTTTGCCGATGAAGTCATGGGAATAAAAGCTCCCTTTGCCCCCGAAAACAGTGGGAGCCTGAAGTCAACTTGTTGTGTGGCCTCCCAATGTCCAGGAAGGTGACCTTTGCTGTTTACTGGAACCTTCCAAACACATGACATCATCTAATGCTCGAATCGTGTGATTACCCCCATTGCACAGATGAGGAAACTGAGGCTGAGATCTTGGGACTGGCCCAAGGTCACTCGTCCAGGTCTAACCTTCACGACCTGGGGTCGGCAGCTCATTCAGTGAACATTTGCTCAGTTCCCCGCTACATGCCAGGCATGGGTCAAGTGCTGGGGGTAAGCCGTGCAATCCTGGACAGGTCCGTGGGCCGCCTAGGTCTGGCAAGGGAAGGTCTGGTCTTTCTCACTTCCACCCGGAGGGTTTCTTGGTGTATTTTCTGCTCATCGTTTCCATGTTTTCGATTGATTAACTTAAAAAATCAGCCTAGCTCACCTTCGAGTTTAATGTAAGAGGGTACATGTTGGTGGCTCTGTCTTGCCATTGTGAGAAGAATTACATTCGTGTGGTTGCGATCCAAATAACCCCAGCTGCTGGCCCTGAAGAGCCCTGGGACAGCCGATTAGCTTTGGGGAAGTGACACTGGCTCCTGGGGTGTTTATTCCAAGCAGGGAGGTTCTCTTTGCAGCCCACTTCCTCCTGCAATTAATCGACGTCGTGCCTGGCCACCCTCCCGTGTGCGTGATCCAGGGGCCTGGAGGAATCACCTGCACGTAGCAACAGTAGCCACACTTCCGGCTGAGTGGCACTGGGGACCGAAGATGAAGGACATGGCCCCGGAGGAGCGGACGGCCTTACCTTTTGTGTGGCTGTGACCACCCCTTCTTTTTTTTTTTTTAATTTTTTTTTATCGTTTATTTATTTTTGAGACAGAGAGACAGAGCATCAATGGGGGAGGGGCAGAGAGAGAGGGAGACACAGAATCTGAAACAGGCTCCAGGCTCCGAGCTGTGAGCACAGAGGCGGACACGGGGCTCGAACTCACGGACCGAGAGGTCATGACCTGAGCCGAAGTCGGACGCTCAACCGACCGAGCCACCCAGGCGCCCCTGTGACCACCCCTTCTTAAGTCACAGATTCCTGGTCAAAATTCATACTTTCCACCGGGCCAACTGGTCGACCAACTGGAGTAGAGGTCTGAACTGACCACAGTGAGGTGTCATTGGATCACTTCATTTATTACAGATATTTACATGGGACTGTCAACTGCTTGATTCCAGCAGTCACCGTCCCTGCCTGGTACAGGAAAGATGCTCAATAACAGGAGGGTCTTGTCTGCGAGATACTGGAAAACCCAAGTCCAGCGGAAGTGGTGAGAAGCGTCCATGGACCCTGGCTCATCTGGGAACCAAAGGGAGTTGAGCCTGGGTTGGTGGCCACTGAGGGCACTGTGTAGCACTCTTTGGTCACCTTTGTCTCAGGGCTGCTGAGGAGTCTCAGTTTACCCAACACCGTCTGTGAGAAAGACAAGTATGCACCCGCCCGGCAGACGTGAGCTCTTTGGGGCAGGACAGGTGCTCTCATTCCTGTGGGCCTGAGAGTTTGGTGGGCTTTTGCACATGTCCCAAGGTTATCCGTTCTCCTTTCTGGAAGTCCATACTGGCCCCCAAACCGATGTATCCTTGTTTTCCAAGGAAGAGAAGAAGATGGCTTGGGTTGCTCTGCAGACGTTCCTCGTGCGAATGTATGTTAGTGTCTGTCTCCCGTGAGGATCCCTTGAGTGTTCAGTTCCTGTGAGGCAAATCCGTTTGCCCATCCTGGTGCCCTGTCTCCATCTGCTCTCTGCCAGTGGCCCGTTTTCCCTCTGATTCTGGTTGGATCTGGCCAGTGGGAGGCACCGGCAGGAGTCCGGGAGGCAGGAAAGAGAGTGAGGTCGGGGTATCCGTCCTGCCACTTGGTCCCCGCTGGGCCACAAGGGACAATGGTACAGGCTGCGTTCCTTTAGCAAAGGCCCCAGGCCCTTGGCACCTCCCTCTGTCCAGCTGGAGGCTGTGGCTGCTCCTTCCCATGTCCCCGGGGGGAGAGGGCAGGTGACAGCTCCCCACTGTTGCTGGACCCCCCCGCTGGGAGCCTCTCCAGCCTGCCTACGCCTTGGAAGTAGCCCTTTGTGAAAACGTCCCCCATTACTCGATTCCAAGAGTCACCTGTTTCCTCCTGTGACCCTGAAGGACACGATGGGCCTGACCCAGGTGCTCCGTGTAGGGGCAGCGCAGCTGATCAGATGAGGGGCGGTCTGGCACCAGCGGGCCGAGGACCGGGCCCTGGAGTGGGATGTGCGCCCCCACCCCAGGTGCCTCCCCGCATCGCCATGAGGTGTGCGAGAGCAGAAGCGGGCCTTATTCTAAGATACCGCCTTCCGACTACCTAATTGTGATTTAAAAAAAAAAAAAAGTCCATTTGACATGTTGAGTCTTTGTTTTGAAAGAGTGCGTGGCTGTCTTCAATAACTGTTCAGAAAACATTTCAGAAGATTTTCGTGTGGAGAGACTCAAGGGTGCCAGAACCTTCATCTTCATTTGCATCCGCTCTGAAGGAGCAGGACCCCCGGCTCTGAGGACACCCAGTCAGCTGGTGGAGCTCTGCCTAAGCCCTGGGAGACACATTCAATCCTCCCACGAGAAGTGGGCATGAGAGACCAGGTCTGGGAGCAAAGTGGACGTGGAGGGACCCAGGGATTTCTTCCTCAGAACCCAGGGATGTCAGAGGCCCCTCTCGTCCCCAGTGGGTTTCAAAGAAGAGGAAACCCAGGAGGCGCTTGGGGGGCTCCGTCGGTGAAGCGTCCAACTTCAGCTCAGGTCACGATCTCGTGGTTCATGAGTTCGAGCCCCACGTCGGGCTCCGGGCTGACGGCTCAGAGCCTGAATCCTGCCTCAGATTCTACGTCTCCCTCTCTCTCTGACCCTCCCACACTCGTACTCTGTCTCTCTCTCTCTCAAAAATAAATGAAAAAAAAATTTTTTTTAATTTAAAAGAAGAGAAAACCCAGGTCCAGAGGGAGGTGGGGGCTCCCCAGACCTCAGACAGTCAGTGCCAGGGCTGGAGCCAGGCTGGACCTAGGACCCCGACTTGTAGTCCTGGGTCCCTTGATGAAGCTTGTGACCAAGGGGGAGGGCCACTGAGCACCCAGTGAGAGTCCTTCAGTGTGATACCTTGTTAAGGACCAGTGGGAAGGAGCAGGGAGGCTTGAACCAGCTCTACGTGGGACCCCGGTCAGACCCAAGGCGCCTGGGGCAGACCTGAGGCACCCTGAGTCACAGCACAGGCTGGCAGGAGCCCGTTAGGCACTCCCCTCGCTCAGGAGGCCAACTGGGAGCAGGGCACCACCGTGCCTGAGAGGCATCCCCCGGAGTCCCTGCAGGACCCCCACCTTTCCCCTCATGGGCCTTCTGGGAACTCTCAATGCATCATGGGAGCAAACCACCCCAAGAAATCGGGGGATTCCTGGCCAGAGAGCACCCCTCCTGCTCACCTTCCGGGGAAGCCGTTGCTCACTGTGTCTTCCCTCAGCCCTGACACTGGCAGAGGACCCTCTCTCCCGGGCCCCAAGCCCGGCCTCCTCCCTTCTCGGTGCCCCACGGATGCGGAGCCTGAGGCCCAGAGACGGGCAGCTGCCGGCTGCGGTCACACAGCTGCGGGCCAGGCGGCGGCAGGCCCACAGATGCCTGGCGTAGACCCCACCCCGGGATCCTTCGCTCTGTGATGTGGCTTCCAGAAGCCACGGCCGGACACACGGCTGGGGCGGCAGCATTTGGAGAGCGTGGGGGCCCTCCCCGTGCTTCCCCGGGCCCCTCGGCTCCTTTGAGGCCTCAGACGCCCTGAGGGCAGGACGGCCGCTTCTCGCCCCCGTGCGGGCGGCCAGAGTCCAAAGCCCTGTCGCTGGTCAGCTCAGAGCCGGGGTGGCGGCTGCGGTGTCCTCTGATGTCCCTGGTGGCCCGAGCCCTGGGGGGCCCGGCAGCACCAGCTGAATAGGCAACACGCGAAGGGGGGCTGTCCCCTGGGTGGGGGGCTCAGCCGCCACCCCCACCCCCCGTCCGACCCAGAGCTGCTCAGTGCTCCTGGGTGGGGCTGAAGGGCTGGGTCCACTTGGACACATCCAGGAAGACGGTGGAGGCCCCGTGGTAGAGCCAGAGGCGGGGCAAGGCGCCGTGGTGGGTCCAGGCGTCCCGCCCGCGGTCGTAGACCTCCATTTCCACGTGGTAGTCGCCGTCCACGCCCTGCCAGCGGCCCCCCGTCACGTACAGCGTGTCACCCAGCGGCACCAACGCACCGTTCTCGTGCAGGCTGTGCAGGGACTGCACCTGTGGGTGGGCAGCGGTCAGTGCCCAGCGGGCGGGCAGGCAGGCGGCGACGGTGGCCAGAGTGCCCTCGGGGTGGGACACGGGGGACACGCAGGGAGGACGGCCAGCACCCTGTCCGGGACACCGGCACACCTGCTACCTGGGACCTCACCCAGACTCCCCGTAACTCCCCCCGGGACCCTCAGACTGCCCCGCCCGTGCTCTCTCTCCGGCCCACATCGCCCAGGATGATGTCCCCGGGCCCCTTGGTCCCCTAGGCCCAAAGTCACTCATATCTGAAGTCAGGGTGTTAGAGGCGCTGGGAGCTGCCTCCCAGCACGTTCCGGGCCGGGCCTCTGATTCATGGCTGCTCTCTTGGAGGGGACGGGTGGGTGAGGCCCCAGGGGTGCCCTGGACAGGGCTCGTGAAGCCAGAGAGACATGAGGGCCCTTGTGGAGGAGCCCAGGGTGGGCGGGAGGGAAGAGGCCCGTCTGTGGCCTCCACACGAGGACAATGGGCAGCCACCCCGGGCCGGGACAGGGCGAGGCAGAGCCCTTCGTGGCCGGGATGCCCCCAGATCGGTGGCCTGGGCCGTGACCCAGCTGGGAGGCCCCAGAAAGAAAGCGCCTGCCTGGCAGGGCCCACCCTGCACCTGTTTTGCACTGTAATGGGGGCCTCCGGTCAGCTGAGCTCTGACGCCAGGGGACAGCTGCGGGCGGCAGGAGGGCAGGGGCCCTGCTGTCACCCGGCCGGCCCGCCCAGCCCTCCTGGGGTGGCCGCAGGAGGGCGTGCCACCTCCTCGGGCCTCCAGGGATCGAGGACCTCAAGGCAGGTGCGGTGGGCCTAGGGTGTCCCGCTGGGGCTGAGGCCGCCGCCATGGCTCTGGGCACCGCCCCTCCTCTTTCTCCAGAAGGAACACAGAGAAAGGCCGGGGCTTGAGATGCCCAGCAGCTGCTCTCTCCCTGGGCCCCGAGGCAGAAGAGGAGGGGGCAGCAAGGAGGGAAGCGGGGCACCAAGAAGCTGGCTGTTCCCAGCTTACCCGCAGCCAAGGGATCCCCGTCCCTGCACCCCCGTGGGTGGGGGACGCCCTCCCTCCTGGGCCTGGCCCGCACCAGGACAGCCACAGCCGTCCCTGAAGCACCTCTGGCTGAGCCTGGATTGGCTCCCCGAGAAGAACAGACCACCCCACGCTGGGGACAGAGCACCCATGGTGACCGGGAGCCCCCGGTCCTGGGCTTTCTTGTCCTGGAATCCGGGCCCCTTACCTCCCTTCATGGTCAGCCCCCTGTGGTGACACCCCCCAGCCCCACCGTCCCCAGGCCCACTCTCATGGTGTCGAGAGTCTTGGGGGGGTGGGGTGTTGCCCTGGGAGGTGAGGCTGAGGCCCACCTTCTGCCACAGGTTGGCCCCGGGGTCGTACACGTAGACCTTCTTGGTGTTGTCACCGACCAGGTAGAGAGTCCCCTGCAGTGCGGCGCAGCGGGGCGAGGACAGGTACTTGGGGAGGAAGGGCGAGGCGATCACACTCCACAAGTCTGCGGGGACACGGCACCAGGCCCACCTTCACCAGGGCGGCCGCTCCCCGGGTCCCGGAGACCTCCTGCGGGGCGTGGACCCCCGCTGGCCTCTCCTCCCAAAGCCCCACTCTCCCTCTGGGGGCGGGGCTCTGCAGAGTTTTGTCCTCAGGTCCGCAGGAGGGGCTCGAGGGCTTTCGGAGGCCTTGGCCTGGCTGCCGCCCCCACCCCCCACCGTCCTGCCTGGGCCCTGGGGCCTCTGCCTCTTTCCCACCCAGTCGGCCGAGTCTGGGGGTCCCACCTGACCCTGGGATCCTCCTCACACCCACCCTACAAAACGGGTCCTATTATCATCTCCACCACCCAGAGGACAGAACGGAGGGTGAGAGCCAGGGTCAGGAAGGCCACCGAGCCAGAGGGAGCCCAGCTGGGGCCCAAACCCTGGCACGGAGTCCAGAGCCCAAGCAGGCGCCCACCAGGACTTGTGGGTCCGGGCCACCGCTCCTGGCCCGTGAGGTCAGCTCCGGGCAGACGCAGCGGCCGGGCAGCATCCAGGGCCTGGAGATGGGCTCCCCACCACCTAGCCCCCCGCCTCCACGCCTCTCGACTGGCACGGGGCTGTGGCTCCGTGCGGGCTA